TCAAGCAGTCAAGTCGTACTCAGCAGAAAGCTACCTTATTTAATTTCTACATAGTTAGACAATCACTGAATTCACATCTTCAGTGGAAACAAAGAACCATCTCTATTTTGATATGTCCTCTATCAGGACAATACCCTTGCACAAGGATACTTAATTAGATGTTTACTCAGTTACTAAAATCCATTCCACAAGCATTATGGTCTGCCCAATGCAGAAGCAGCAACTGAGATTTTCAGGACATTGCAATATTCAAAAAAATTAATAATAGGTGCAGTAAATGCTCCTGTATTATTACTCAACCACTATTCTGAAAGCAACATTTCAAGAAGTGAGACACCAACCAGTCCTTTGGATGTTAGGAATCTGACAGGAGAGCAGTAGTTACAAAGACTGTGATAATGGACTTAAGCAAATCACAAACCAGGCTGATAACATGGGAAGCATGTTTTAAGATTACAAAACCAAACAGTTCAAGTGTTAAAAACATAGTTTTATATAAAATTATCTACGGTTTTAAAATTAAGTACAAAAAATACATGATGAGCATATGACATGTCTCATATATATAAAAGAGAAAAAGTACGTTTCTGATTTTCACTCAAACAAAACATTGGTAAGCTAATGGAAAACTACTTATTCTTGCCAAGACTACTTACAAAGATTTTGACTATTATTTGCTACCAGCACTGACAGATTGTTAGTAGAAAATATACACCATGAGGACTGGTATATATGAAACCTAATACATGGAACATTGCAACCATTATTAATATATTTTCCTTCAGCAGTCACATTATCTGTCCTGACAATTCAAAGCAACATTTACAAATCAAATCATTCTTTTCAGTGCTTTCATTAGTTCAAACGTTTTAAACTGATACTGAAAATAAGGTCACCAGCCTCAAAGGCAAATTTTCACTGCCTCAGAAAACTCTGCAGCTTTGCATTTGAATGTGATCTCCCTGGTTTACCTTACAGTGAAGCAAGAAAATTGAGCATGAAAATTAATAGTTCTCACAGTTTTTTCTACATTACTCTCTGCTAGTCAAGTTCCCTCCTCAGAGCCCCAATATTTTGCACAGAAAGAAAGTGAACAGTATTCCATGACTCTGTTTTAGTAGTTCTAGGTCATTCCATAGAACATGGTGTCCTCTTGTGGCTGGAGGTTCCCTAAATCTGAGACGTGTAACAGAGCACCAAATGTAGTGCTGGTATCAAGGGAGGCATCAATCAGAGCAAAACCCTCTTTCAGTGCCACTAAGATTTAGAGCAAGCATATCACCTTCCTTAGCTTCATAGTACCAAATGCAGTGTGCTGAACACAGACAATGAACAACATCATTCAGGTACAGACCTGAAGGATATAAAAAGCACATACCACCATTTCCCAAAAGATGTAAAATAGTGGGTTTTAGCATTTGCACATGAAGGACTATGTTTTACCAATTTATTAGTTGGGCATCTAGTAACACTGAAGATTCGTAAAGGACATAAAAAACATAGACTGACAGAATCCTAGACAAACTGCATATGGATAGTTCTGTTAGCAGAGTTCAGCTACTGAAATACCTCTTTAGGCAGTGATTTAAGATTGTATTGATTAATTTAGAAATGAGAAGACAGCTGCAATTCTATTAAAAACTGAACAACCAATATCAAAGAGAAAAAATATTTAGTGCAACCTAACAACACTCCTAAAAGGGAATATGCTTTGAAAGCCACTTAAGTTAAAAGAGCAGTATTGAAAAAAGCAGCACTGACACTACCTTCTAATGCTTGTTACCAAGCATTTGCAAGTGTAACATCACACACACATCCATCATTCTACAGAATTCCAAGACAGACATTCCCATATGACTTAATTAATTTTACAACAAATTTTTAAGCTTTCCAGTTACTTCAACCTACTCTGCCATAGAAAGGAGGGAGTCAGTCACTCAGTGTAATGTGTTCCAAAGAGCTACAACCTGGTCTAGTGGAAGGTGCCCCTGCCCATGGCAGGGGGTTGAGACTGGATGAGTTTTAAGGTCCCTTCCAACCCAAACTAGTCTGTGATTCTATTCCTGCTGGATCTATAGGGTAATTGTTCCTGAAGCATGATCCACTCACTATACTACACCAAACCACTCAATGCTCTTAAATGCAACATGCACAGCTATGACACAGTACAGAAAATAGCACCACTGAAAGGACAAAAATGTGCCTAGATAATGTGCTGTGGAAATAAACTCATGAGCGACAAACTGAAGTGAGCTCTTGCAAACATGAAAGCCCCACTTTACAACTTACAAGCTATTTACAACAGGTAGCCAGAAGTGTAACCACTAATCATAATTCCAGTTAAACCACTGTCTTATGGCTGATCATAGGAGCCTTTCAGGAGTGTGATTGATGTCACCCATTTCTTACTGTAAAGAAAAGATACTTTTTCTGAGATCTGATATGGCAGAAAGCAATTGTGGTTTTATGCATGATTAAGGTAGAATTTTGGCCCAAAGCTAAAGCACTGAAAGAATAAGCATTGCAAATGTTTTAATGAGTTGCTCAACTAAAAATTTTGTATGCACCAATTGTATTTGAAGTAATTAAGGATGAAAGACTACCAAAGAAAGCTTAAAAGAAGGTATCTGCAATATATTGAAGTGGCTGATACTGCATCACTTCAAAAAAAAAAGAGAATTAGCTATGTAGCAAAGAAAAAAAAACCCAATACATTGTTTCTATTACAAAACTATGCATTAAAAATGAAATGAAAAATGCACTGAGGAAAAAAGGCAGGAAAGTTCTCATTAAGTACTTTCATTTACTAGGATATAAACAATGAACATCAGCTGGGGACTTTATGCCATGCAAGCAGGCCTATAGGTTTTATTGATAAATTCCATACAGAATCATAGAATGCCAGGTTGGACGTGACCTCAAGGATCATCTGGTCCAACATTTCTATGCAAATCATGACCTATAAATATACTCACACATATATATATTTTTTATTATATGTAAATGACAATAAATATATTTTTATCATCACCATCTAATGCAGATTATGTGCATTACTACTAATTTTGTAACAAATGCACCAACCTTACCTACTCATGTTTACAGAATACTTGGAAAGATCATTTGAAATAATGTCAGAGTTACTACCTATAGATACTGACAATCTCCACATTCACTGACACATGAATGCCTTAAGGAATTTATTAGTGCTGCATTTTTTCTATTTGTTTTTGAAATTGTAGACTAGTTTTCATGAATCAGCACTGGTATTTCTTCTGTCATACACAAAGTTCCATCAGATATAATTAGCATGACTCTGGCATTTTAGCAATACAGGTATTACTGCCTTCTTAGGCCAAATAAAACATCAATAATATCTATTTTAGTCATTACGTCAGCCTTCTTTTGATGACTATGCTGATCACTATGGTTGGTGCTTCTTAGGTATCTGATACAAACAACAGTGACACTACTGAAAAAAAAAAAAAGAAAAAAAGAAACGAGAAACGAGAAAGTCCCATATAAAAGCTATTGTGTACAGTTCTGGTGTCCTCAACATAAAAAGGACATGGAACTGTTGGAACAAGTTCAGAGGAGGGCCACGAGAATGATCAGGGGACTGGAGCATATGAAGATAGGCTGAGAAAGTTGGGGCTGTTCAGCCTGGAGAAGAGAAGGCTGCATGGAGACCTCATAGAAGCCTTCCAGTATCTGAAGGGGGCCTATAGAGATGCTGGGGAGGGACTCTTCATTAGGGACTGTAGTGATAGGACAAGGGGTAAGGGGTTAAAACTTAAACAGGGGAAGTTTAGATTGGATATAAGGAGGAAATTCTTTCCTGTTAGGGTGGTGAGGCACTGGAATGGGTTTCCCAGGGAGGTTGTGAATGCTCCATCCCTGGCAGTGTTCAAGGCCAGGTTGGACAAAGCCTTGGGTGATATGGTTTAGAGCAAGGTGTCCCTGCCCATGGCAGGGGGGTTGGAACTTGATGATCTTAAGGTCCTTTCCAACCCTAGCTGTTCTATGATTCTATGATTAACATTAGGAATGCTGATTTAAGCACCCTGTGGTGTAGTACAGACATTTTTAGTAATAGGCATGATGTAAATCTCAAGTATTTTACATGTTGATTGTTAAATAATTTTTTCATATCATTGCTACACTGTAAAGCAAAACTACCCTGATTACTTCTCAATCCCTCCTGGATTTGTGATGCACACTACAATGTGCATTCAAGCTCTTACACATTTTAAAGTTTTGATGATTAAGGATTAAGCTATATGATACTACATATTTACTACGTCCATACTACAGTATTTACTGTATTTGTTGCAAAATCCCTATATGAACAGAAAAAGCAGACATTCCCATTTTAAAGTGGAAGAACAGACACAAAGATACAGATTATGGTAATTAAGCATCCAAATGCCTTTTAAAAGCTAGTTTGAAGAACTTAAAACGTTTGGTGAGCAGTACAGGAAATCTAAGATGTATTGGTCTAAATTCCTTAAATTTTACAGAAATATTTAATGAATTACTGACCAGTGTTAATAGCTGGCATACACTGAGAAGAGATTAGGTTTTACATATAAGCTGTTCAGTATATTTTGGGGAGTTTTGTGCATTCCTCTACTGTGTATGCCATCTACATTTTGTTTAATAAAAACAGTTTCCTTTGCAGTGAGTGGAAAAATCAATGTATTAAGTACATTATCAGCAAATCTGCAGCTGATGAGGCCAAAGTCTGTATGGAAACAACAGGTATTGTCTTCCAGGTGTAAAAAATATTTATGATAAAAGTATTTATAACAGTCATAGAATCCCAGACTGGTCTGGCTTAGAAGGTGCCTTAAAGCTCATTCAGTTCCAATCCCCTGTCACGGGCAGGAACACCTTCCACTAGATCAGGTTGCTCCAAGCTCTGTCCAACCTGGTCTCTTTGTGTGTGTGGATAATTTTTTTTTTCTCCACAACTATCACTGATACTGTGAGTTAAGTACCTTGTTTCCAATGGCTTTTTTTGGTGGAAAGTTGAAAGTTCTCACTTGCTGGTACTTATTCTGCAATTTATGATGCAAGCTCCTGAACTCCGCATATCTCCGATAAACATTCCATTCATCATCCTTTATCCTAATATAAACCTGAAAAACACAGATAGGGAAGCAAATCATTGAAGACAAACCACTGAACTGATGTGTCTCCTTTATTCTTTAAAGCTTCATAACACAATGGTACCAGAAGTTCCAGATCACTTATCCATAGCTATATCTCTGACTGCACATTAGCTGTTTCTGTTGTACAGGTCATTAATCTTATTCTCTCCCTTTCTCCCTCTCATTCTCTTTTTGTTTCTTTTTATGATATTAATCAAGACAAACATAGCTTGGTTTTTGTTACCATGGTTTCCAGCATATCCTATCCATCCAGCCAGTGACCAAAGGAAATAATAATTTAATACCACTATAAAATTTATTTCTATGCACTCAACAGAGTTTTTCATCTTTGTAAGTCAGCTCTGTAGCATCAGAATTGCAAAACATAATTTTATCCAAAGTATAAAACTTAATCTACTTTCTTTAAAAAAAAAAAAACAAAAACAAAAACCCCACAGAAAACTAAAATAGAATTTTTATTGTTTGGAAAATAAACACAGTTCATTCTTTTTGCTTGTATAGGACATTAAGAGTAATTTAACACAGCTGTAGTTTTTGTTATTCTGGTTTTGTTTGCCAATTAATTATTTCATGAGCATATTATGAATTACATGCTAAATGTTCACATTCTCTAGGAAAATTTCACGTGGAAGTGGAATATAATAACAGAAATCTTAGATTTCCTTCATTACTAGAAGATAACTTTTCCCCTGCAGAAATGAACCCCCAGTTAAAGAAAATGATGAAATAGCACAAGTCAGAAACTCTAAACCAGGCATCACAAGACAAGATCCAGAGTGACCTTTTCTTTAGCTGCTTCCGCAGAATCTGTAGCTCATTCATTCTCATGTGTGTGTTATTAGTCTCAGTAGTTTGCATCTCAAATTAAGCTGGAATAGTACTGATAACACATGCTTCTCCAACAATACCAGTGTTTTATTAAGCTGTAAGGCAAGTATCAGGAGAATACTTATGGAAAAAAAGCAACATCACACCACCACTCACATAAAAAGTGGGCAGCAGCACCTGGAATTTTGCAAATACTAGAAAAAGATGAAGTTTGGATTTTGATGTTGCCAATTCCAGCACTGAAACGTAGTTTCTCCTGATGACTGAAATATTAATACAGTCTTTCTCCTCTAGATTTACCAAGTCTTTAGAAAAGACAAAATGTTACTAAGGGCTTATGGTATTTCAGAGATCCAGTGACATTAAGTAAATGTCTTCTCCCACAAAAGCAGCTTCCACAGCCTTCCTTTTGACTGGTCTTTAAGAAGTTCTCTTATCTCTACAGAAATCTAGTTTCTCCAATTTATACGAGGTTTCTATCTTGCAACAGAAGAGACAATATACCATGCAGATACCATGCAATTCCTGCCAAAATATAGTATTTCACTGTAGAAAACATTCATATATTTGTAATATTGGATTCAGTTGAATAAAAAGTGTAGCTTTTTGTTACTATTGTACTTCCTCGTGTTTTCTGATGAGGACAAAAATAAATACTATAATTCCAAACTTAGCACACCTAAGAGTACAAGAGATTCAGAGTACTGTGTGAATTATAAATGCAGATGTAGAAAAAAACTTCAACTAGTTTTGGTAACAGGAATTCAGATGGAACCATATAACAAGTCTGCAAGAAATATACAGACTTCTCCTTCATTTTGAAAATAAAGCCAGGAAAAGGTAATTGAACACCTACAGGCCCATCTGTTTTAACAGTTCAGTACACCTCTGAAGGAAAATGAAGGAAATATTAAATACAAGTATTTGGCATGATTTCAATGAAACTCATTGTCGTGGTTTAAGCCCAGCCCGTAACTCAGAACCACGCAGCCACTCACTCACTCCCCCCCCCCTTTCCTGCCTCCCTGCTACTGGAGGAATGGGGAGGAGAATCGAAAGAATGTAACTCCCATGGGTTGAGATAAGAACAGTCCAGTAACTAAGGTATAACACAAACCACTGCTGCTGCCACCAATAATAATAATGATAAGGGAAATAACAAGGGACGAGAATACAACCGCTCACCACCCGCCGACCGTTACCCAGCCTGACTCGAGCAGTGATCTAACCCTTCTGGGTAACTGCTCCCAGTTTATATACTGGGCATGATGTGCTGTGGCATGGAATACCTCTTTGGTCAGTTTGAGTCAGGTGTCCTGTCTCTGCTTGCTCCCTGGCAGAGCTTGAGACTCACAAAGTCCTGGGTCAGACTAAACATTACTGAGCAGCAACTAAAGACATGGTGTTATCAGTGCTGCTCCCAGGCTGAAAGTCAAAACCACAGCACTGCACCAGCTAAGAAGCAGAAAAATGACTGCTACTGCTGAACCCAGAACACTCATTAAATGTAGTAAAAACTGTATTAAATACTTTGTTCACTCAGCTCTAACACTGCTTTAAGCAGCATATTGTATGAAGCTCTGTACATTCCCAAGGTTTATGTTTCAGCTTCTCTACAGGTGGCAGAGGGATGACAAAAAACTTATTCTTAACCAAGTTATTTAATATGGAATCCCTGGTTTAACTCAGAAATCCTGGTTTAACAGCAGTCATCTTTGCCAATGTGATCTAGTGAATCATGCAGTTCAATATTACCTGTTAAGCTGTAACCCACAGTTAACCAAATAAGGAATGCGGTACAATGTAACTGGAATTTTTAAGAGTGCAAAAAACCAGAGATTTATTTTTTAGTTGAAGCTGTAAAAGAATTTCTTCCTGTCCTTCTATGTACATAGATTTTGATTTCTTTTAGACAAAATGCAACATTTGGATCTCCCTGCAATACTGAATTTATTGACAATCATATAATAGATTATGAATGGCACATTAATGTTCATGATGTAGTACACATTTAAAGCTTTATTATCTCAACAGGTAATGCTATTCACAAGCAAAGGTTTTTCAAGACACTTAATGTAAATTCAGTTGGGCAACTGAACAAAGTAAATCCTAAATATAAAATCACTTGGGTAAATCTATCCTAGTTTAGTCATATAAGGCATATAGTTATCACCATTTAAATCAAATACAAATCATACAACTAAGCACAGGAATAACAGGGAACAATTCTCTTTGTAGACAAGATTTTGAAATTATACCAAATCAAGCAACTTGAGATGCATGGTTTGAAATTGTCTTTAAGTCATTAGAACGATTTCCAGTATCTTGAATGTATTCACGATTTCATTCACAGCCTTTCAGGAGTAAATCAATGACATCTGTAACTGACAAACACAATTTTGTGGATGTTTGTCCCAAACGACCATGCTGTACTATAGAGCAACACTACTTTTTACTACTGAAAATACCTTAACATATGACTTAAAATTACAGAACAGCATTCTAAGATCACGTCATAGAAAGTTGAAAGGACTACTCTAAGGTTCATTCTCTGATCATTTTTTAGAAATCAAATACAAATCCCTACACTTCCTTTCAAATGTCCATGTTCTCCTGAAATCATCCACTCCTGAGTAATCTCCAAAGTAATGAAAATTTATAGACTGAAGCAAAATCACCACTAGAATGCTTATTTGATTGGAGACAAAAGATTTTACTTTAAGATTCTCTTGCATAACAACAAATTAATTGAGCAGCTTTCGCCTGCAGTTTAGAAGCACCTTCCAGTTGGGTCTTCATGTAAAGACTGATCAGTAACCTTTTTGTAGCTATGATTTACAGCAGCTGAAAGAAAAAATTCAGGTAATAAGTAGGTATAATGAATTAGTCTGTTATTTTCTCATCACAAACATATTTGAAGTCAAAGCTTTGAAGAGAAGTAGCAAAACCAGTAGTAATTTAATATTTTGGTTTTTTTTAGCCAGCTACCTGCTAACTTAATATTACTGAAATGCTGGTTTCTGAGAACTGGTTTGAAAGCACTAGTTCAATGACTCTATACTGAAGATGAATAAACCCTACTTCCGTGGTACTGGTTTTCAAGCCAAGTTCCTTTAAGCAGTTCTGAGTCAAAAATGGCATTAACAACCCTGGTAACAAATTAGTAACTATTGACAGAGTTCAAGGCTACCTATGTATAAAAGCCTGAGAAAAAAAAAGGACAAAATGCCAAAATTCCAACTTGCTCCAGTTTTAGGAACCTTCAGAGATTCAGTTACTATTTTTCAGTTCTGCTGAAGTCTGAAGTGCTTTTTCTGTTTGGAGGAGAAATACAGAATAGTATGGTTAGGATTTGTTTTTTGTCTCTCTCTCAAGCACTGTAAGTAGAAAGAGATACTGAATGGGGTACTGGAGAATCTTTCTGTTGCTATGTCATTTATGGTTACAGAAATAACAGACGAAGCATCAGGAAGGAAATTTCCCTAACACAAGCCTCTCCAGAATCTTTCCTTCAAACACATCTTACATTTCCTGGTAAGACGACCTAAATATGTAACGAAAAATCAGTTCTAGGCAGAGAACTCTGTGGATGGGAGCTCCACAAATACAAACCTGCTGAAGTCCCTGTGAGTCTATGTCCCATTCCAGAAGCAAGAAAAATGTCAGAAGGGGAGAGAACAATGCTAGTGAAAGGTGAGCAGTGAAACTCTCCTAAACCCCATCTAAAATTCAGTGGCACAAGATGCAAGAGAAGTCTGAACATTTGAGCAGCAGAACACTTCAAATGATGTAAGAAACACTATGAAAGTTTATAAAAATCAGTCCCGTGCTGGACAAGGTCAGTTTTTCTTACAAGCACGAGAAAAAAAATAAATATGATGAGCAGCACAGGGAATGCAAAAGAGACTGATTTACACTAAGGAAGCTACTGTCACATCCGAACCCTAGCTAAGCATTATCCAGGGGGACTGGGGGGGGGGGAAGAGACACCCTATTATTTCTGCATTACTGTATTTCTACTGAATTATTGTATTCCTAATTTCCTTTCCCTCACTACTAAAATGACTTCCTAGAGATCCTCTTGTTTGTTACATATGCCTTTCAAATCAATGCCCAAGCATCTGAGAGTAGAAAGAAAA